TTTTTTTGTGTGTAATGCGACGAGATTTAAAATGAAAGTAATAATATAAACTTATAAGTTGATATGGTATTGTGGTGAACAAAACAGTCCAAAGTTTCCTAAACTGAAACTAAGGTTTTCCTTGATTAATCAGTGATAAAATCAAAGGGTTTGAAGAAATGCTTAGGACGCAATTTAAAAATAAATAATTACAGAATTCAAACTCAAAAATAATACTTTGTAGTTTTCTAATGACTTTTCAAAAGGAATTGCTCAAGTTTTTGGCTAAGTAAATACAGATTTAAATGTTCATAGCTATGGAAATGACTGATTTATTTTTGTCTTGGTTTATATGATGCTATTACCTGTAACTAAAACTTGTATCTGTTTGTATATATTGTACTCTAAATTACATGCTTTATATGTATAAAATAGAGTTTAAAATCTTATTGCAATTATTTCACTTTTGCAATTATTAATGAATTTTTAATGCATGAAAAGACTTTTAAAAAAACATAAAAATGATTTATATAAATGTAGAAAAACATACTTTTTATAAGAATATTATTATTTTTTAAAGTATTATTTCAAAAATTATATTTATTCTTTTTATTATTATAGAATGGAGATACTCAATATAGAAAAAAATGGGAAAACAGCTTGCTATGTCTGGAAGTGCTAAATTTAAAAGATGATTTAAGGAAGGAGAATACAAATGTAGGTTATTTTTACCATTTCTAAGTTTTCAATAAATGTTGCTTGTCAGTCAGTAGTGTTTTTTGGTATTTTCTTCTAAATCAGTTAAAAAAATAGTTTTTAAAATACTTTGTGCATCTGTGCCATGTAATTCTTATCTGACAATTGATTACAAAGTACCTGGTTAAATAAAATTGTGAATCGCTGATCCTAAAACATAAGAAATGTGGGATGGCTCAGCTAATGATCGTAATGATGCTTGGTTAAAAAAACTATATATGATGGTGTTTTTCAAAAAAGTGATAACCTACATCTTTTAAAAGTTGAGGTCAGTATCATTTTTGACTTCCTGAGGATCGCTCCTCTATTGAGTGAAAATGTTCAAACCAACATCAGTATTATAGTGACATCTGGTGGAAAAAATGGTAACCCACAATCAATAAAACCTTGTTAAATTAAGGTTCTCTTATAGCTAGTTATTAAGTTTTCGTGAAACAACATCCATATATTCAAAAGTATCAAATTATGAAAAGTTAATATGACATGTCTTAACAGAATCAAGTTCATGCAAATCACAAAGTGTATGGAAGAAATCTAGAAATGGTCTTATAAGTGGCTGCTAGACAAATTTTTATACTTAAAATCTATATTTTAAACAAAATGGTCGTATTTGTGAAATTAATAAAAATATTGTGAAAACAATTTCAACTGTTGGTCTCTATCTAAATAATTTTTAATTATTTGAAACTCTAAAAGTAGGTTAATCTTATTTGATAACTTTGAGTCTTTTTGCAGCAAAGACTTTATTTAAACAAGAATTACATATAGTTAATTGTTTATTTAAGCAAGAATTACATATAATTAAGTCATATAACTATATGATCTAAAAAAGAGTAGCTGCAGTCTAGAGTAGACAAGGGTTACTAATATAAATTTTTTTTTTACTAGATGGTTTTATTTATTTGGGATAAAATAGGGTATAGTCCATGCATTATTCTCTAATAGTTGATATTATTATGTTAAATGTAATTGTTAATTTAACTTTTATAATTGAACTATAGCTATCAACTTCAACCGTTTAGGATGATATGAGAACTCTAAATGCAAATTGGAAAGTTTTAAATAAAATGGATAAAAAAAGAAGGTATTTATATATATGTGTGTGTGTGTGTGTGTGTGTGTGTTTGTGAGAGAGTGTATATATATATATATATATATATATATATATATATATATATATATATATATATATATATATATATATATATATATATATATATATATATATATATATATATATATATATATATATATGTATATATATATATATATATATATATATATATATATATATATATATATATATATATATATATATATATATATGTATATATATATATGTATATATTCATATATACATATATATATATATATGTATATATTCATATATATATATATCAACCCTTAGAATTAAAATCAGAAGGAAAAACAAGGTCGGCAATAGTTTGCTGACCTCAATCTTTTAGAGGTCGGCAAAAAAATTTGATACAAAGGTCTCACCATAAAACATAGAAACGAGGTCGGAAATTATTTGCCGACCTCAAACACTTTATGGTCGGTAGTTAGGTCGGCATTGCTGAATGCTGACCCTAATTCCGAGGGTTATATATATATATATATATATATATATATATATTATATATATATATATATATATATATATATATATATACATATCTACTATAGCATATATATATATATCTACTATAGCATATATATATATATATATATATATATATATATATATATATATATATATATATATATATATATATATATATATATAGTCTTGCATGGTAGTCACAAAGTTTTTCCTATAAACTGTTGTTTTAAAGAACGCGTTAATAAGCATGACCAGAAAATGTTAAAAAACTTCAAAAAAAAAAATTTTTTTTTTTAAATGATAGACTGCCTGCCCAAACCAAACCCTTAGTCAATGTAGCAGCACTCCCTTGCGAGTCAGTCTATTTGTCATTCGATGTAGCAGCACTTCCTTGCGAGTCAGGCTATTTGTCAGTCGATGTAGCAGCTTTCAGGCTAGAGTCAGGCTATTTGTCAGTCGATGTAGCAGACTCCCTTGCGAGTCAGGCTATAAGATAGTCGATGTAGCAACACTTACACATGTTTTAAAAATGTTTTTTAATAAAACAAAAACAAAAACACCACTAATTAAAAAAAACTTTCTAGTCATTATTATTGCGGTTTTTTTAAAAAACAATAAAATTTAATGTACTTCAGCATTAAATTAATTGCTTTGACATTTCGATGACAATCAAATACAGCTTAAGAGACGAGATAATAAAAATTGTAGTCGAAAGAGACTTTTTTTACCATAAAAGTCTCTTTCGACTGCACTATAAGGATATATATATATATATATATATATATATATATATATATATATATATATATATATATATATATATATATATATATATATATATATATATATATATATATATATATATATATATATATATATATATATATATATATATATATATATATATATATATATATATATATATATATATATATATATATAAGTTACCATATTTCTAGAGAAGATTGTGCTAGAGAAGAGGAGCATCAAAAACTGCAACAAAAGCTCAAAATAAAAAATGATATTGCTCAAGATTCCTTCAGCAGAAATATGAAAGAAAAACAGATGAAATTAATCATGCAAAAGTATTTTATGCTTCAATATATTATAATTTTTAACTTCTTTTTTTTTTTTTGAGTAGTTTTAATTAAAATTTTTAATATTTCTAGATTAAAAATTTAATTTTAAACTTGAAAGATTTAAATGAAACAATGAATTCACTATAGTTATGTTAACTAAACTTTTGTTTATTTATTCTTCAATAATCTCAAACAAGTCTTTAAATAATTTTTTATTTATCTTCTATATAATTTACTTTATCAAAGTCATTTTTTAAGTTACCAACAGTCTAAATTTCTATGGTAAAACACCATAGATATAAAGACTATTATATAAAGTTTTTTATATTTTTAATATTTAGACTAAAGGAAGAAGAACGAAAATTATATAGACAACGACAGTTAAGTCTTATGGACAAAGATCTTAAACGCTGGCAAGATGAGTTAGTTCTCTTTCAAACCATTGTAAGATTATTCAAGTAATTTTTTTCAAAAAAAATTTTAATTTATATTTAAAAAAGTTTAAAACTTTGTTTTAAACTTTTTTAATTATAATATAATTTGTTAAGAATGATAATCGTGCGCGTGAGATAGTTGAAAAGAAAAATGAATCAAAGAAGCAAAAAGTGTTAAACAACCGACTTATTAAAGAGTTAGACCATGCTGCTTTAAAAATAAGGTACAAATTCAACTTACTGAAAAAGTGTTTTAGTTATAAGTAATATAATAGTGAGAGGTTTTAGTGTCAACAATATTCGTATAAAGTAATTTATTGTTGTTTTTTTTTAATGTAATTTTCATTTTTAAAAGATATGGCTCTAAAAATTGTGTTAAAGAAATGATTTTAGTAATAATTTCAAAATTCTAAATTTTCTTATTTATATGTGTAAAATTATAAACAATAAAGTTAGGAAATTTTTTATTTGTGTGTGTAAAAGAATTGAACAGGAGAACAAACTTCGAGAAGAAGAAACAAAAGCAGCTATTTTACTAAAAGACAAAAGAGTTGAACTGATAAACAAAGAAAAAGATGAGTTTCTTAAAGTGGTAAAAAAAATGATTAGTTGCATTTTTTGTTTCAAACCCTAGTAAATAATTTCATAATACTTTCGAATAACTTTTATATATATCTATAATATATTATTTATTTATCATATGAACCTTCATATACTTTTATATATATCTATAATATATTATTTTTATTTATTGTTATTAGTTATTTATTGTAATAGTTATATTTATATATAATTATATATTTGTAAAAGTTACATTTATATATGATTATATATTTATAGTTTTTATACTTATGTTGGTAGCAATTCAATTTGGTCATAATTCATAAATGTTGAAATTTAAAAAATTGCCTAATTTTTTTATGTAGAGTCGTGATGTAGCTCGAGCTAATAGAGTGTTGCGTGACTTGAAAAAAGAAAAAGATATGCATAGGTTTAAACTTTTTTAACTTTATGTAGAAATTTAGTGTTCCATTTCATTAATTATGTGTGTTTTATTTAGTTCATTTGATAAAATGGCAGCAAATGCAGAGAAGGTAGCAAGAATTGAAAAACTTAGTTTACGAAAAACAACACCTACATCAATAGAAAAACATAAATCAAATATTGTTTTAGGTTAACTTTGAATACTGTATGTAAATATGCACCAATTGTTTTAATAACTTTATATATTTTTTTCAAAATAAAATTTTTAATGTATTTAAAAGAGTATTATAAAAAGTGATATATATTTTTAACTAAATAAATTAAGTTGTTATTATTTCAATGTAGTTTTTAAAATGTTTTGTAAATTATTTGATAATGTAAATATTGGAAATAAATTTAATGAAGTTGAAATTGTTTGTTTCTCTTCAGCCAATTGAAATGTTTGTTGTTTTTTCTTCAGTCTAAAAGATACTTGTCATATATAATATAGAAAAAAAAAAGCATTTTTTTTTACATTTGTTTTCCGAAGATCATTAATCAGTAATTTATCAATTGAAAATTTATTTCTTAAGAATATTATTTAAACAATTAAATTTCTGGTAATGACAAGTTTTATTTAAATTGACCATTTGACCATAACTATTTGTTATTTAACCATTTGACCATGACTATTTGTTTATTGGCCATTTGACCATGACTATTTGTTTATTGACCATTTGACCATGACTAGTTGTAAATTGACCATTTGATCTTGGCTATTTGTTAATTAATCATTTACCTATGACTGTTTGTTAATTGACCATTTGACCATGACTATTTGTTAATTGATTCTAAGTTTATTGGCATGTTTTTAAAAAATTATTTTAGTAGTTAACGTTTTTTTTTTTTTTTTTTTTTTTTTTACAGTCATTTGAGTGCTGTATTTTTTTGACTTCCATGTGCACTTTTAATTTTTTTTATTGATTTTAGGTCATTAGAATATAAAATGGACTCAGAAGGTCAATTTCCAGTCAATGTATGACAGCAGTTTTTATCAATCTGTTTTGTTTTTTTTAACAAACTTCTGTGTTTTTGAAAGTTCTCTTTTATTTTGTATTCTCATGATTGCTATAATAGTTTTTGTTTTCCTTTATTTATTTTTTCTTTCTTAATCATTTTCTTAGTAACTTCTAACTTTTTATTTGCTTGCTCACACTATCAACTTTGAAAATTTTTTGTTGAGAAAATTAGAGCCCACCACGTAAAGAATGGTTATTAGAAATTGACAATGAGTTAAGAATAGAAGTGGCCTCTGGAAATGAAGCAAAAATAACAGTAATTTTTTTATTCAGTAAATGGTTAAGTTTCATTAATTTTATCATTTAGCTATTAAATAAAATATTGTTTTTTATAGATTACTGATGGCCATGCAGAAATATTTGGTACTGAGTTGGTTCGAAACAAACAATATACATTTAGAAGCAAGTCAAAAATTGCTATATATACCTGGCATGGGTGCACAGTTGAGGTATTTGTTGTACTTTTTGTTTATTTATAAACATTTCTTTTGATTAGCTATTAACTGTTATAAAATATCATTTATTAAATCTATGTTCTTTTCATAAGCAACCTTTTTTATATTAAAATAAATTGGTGTTTTGGTAAGTTGATATTTCTTTTATATTTGAGTACAACATTTTACTTCACAAAGTTGTGATTTGTTCATGGAGGTTTATTTTGGAGTTGTATGTAACTGTTTAGGTTTTAGGTGAACTTGAGGTAGGGTATATATCTGCTGAAACACCAATGATAATATACTTGAATGTTGTATATCTTCATATATAAATATGTTGTATATCTAATAGCCTTAATATCTGCTGAAACACCAATGATAATATTTTATAAATGTTTAGGTTTTAGGTGAGCTTGAGGTAGGGTATATATCTGCTGAAACACCAATGATAATATACTTGAATGTTCATATGGCTTTGGAGCAAATGAGACAAAAGGTTGAAAAGCAACAAAGTGGTTTGAAAATTGGTCCGAAGGTATTTTACATTAGAAAACATTTTTATACGATAAGTTTTTAAAAGTCTTTGTTTTTTTTTTAGTTTACAAAGTTTTACTTTTTTTAATTTTCACAACATTCTTGAGATTGCTTCTCTATTTTTTAGCTGTTTAAAAATTTTATATATTTAAAAATTTTATATATTTTTTTCTTTCAAAAATATTTATTAGATAGTAAATTGATGATTTTATTGTAATGCTGTAATTTGTAAAAGTATATTTTTTATTTAGGTAGTAATTTGTGGACCTGTAAATGTTGGTAAGTCTACTTTGAGTAGAATACTTTTGAACTATGGCGTACGCATGGGAAGACGGCCTATTTTTGTTGATCTTGATGTAGGCCAGGTATAATCATTTTACCTTAAACTGCTAGTTTATATTTTAGTTGTAAATGTTTTAATGCAAAAAAAAATTTTCTAGGGAAGTATTGCTGTTCCAGGATCAATGGGTATTATTCTCTTTTTTTTTAAATATTTTTTTATATGTTTTAATGTTTTAATATTTTTATGTTCAATTTTAGGGTTTGATGTTTTTTATGTTTATAGGAGCATTACTTGTGGAAAGACCAGCAGATGCAGAAGAAGGTTGAGCATAAAGGATTTTATTCTTTAATTACTTAAAACAGTTCTTTAAAAAGATGAAATTTTTCTGTTTTAGGCTTTTCTCTGCAAACTCCTTTAGTTTACAATTTTGGGCATACTACACCTAGTGATAATATTAAGCTGCATGATGCATTGGTATCTCAATTGGCTGATGTTGTTTTTAAACATTTTGAGCACAATCCAAAAGGTAGAAAACAATTTTATTGCTTGGTTTAAAATAATTATACTTTATTTGTTTCCTTAGACTGTAAAAGATTAAAAGCTTGTTCTGTTTTACTGCCATTTTATAAATTTTTTACTGCCACTTTATAAGTTTTTTAGATAATATTTTGAAGTCATTTCTTATGTTTTCTGAATTTATTTATTTTATATGTAAACACACACAGCCCAAATGAATATCTCTATGATTAGGAAGCATTTGTAGAGAAATGGTTTTTTTATTTTTATTATTTTTTTATGAAAAATTGAGTGCTTGCTAAAAAAGTTGTAAATTAAAACATTGAATAATTTATTTTCCAAAAAAACTATGTTTTAATTCAAGTTTAGGTTTTTGACTATTTATATACTGTGTATGATTTTGTATAATCAGTTAAATTAACTATTAATTGTTTCAACTACTCTTCTAAAAATATATGCCTTAACTTAGCTTCTCATATTTTATATGAAAAACTATGATGTGACTCATGAGATATGAGGGTATTTAGAAAAATTAGCAAATCATTGTTAAACATATTGTGTGATCGAAATTCATTTGTTATGCTTTTGAATTTTGTGTTTACAAACTGTACATGCTTTTAGTATATTTTATGTGATATGAGTTTAAACTTGAGTTATGGCTGGATAATGAAAAATTTAAGTACTGAAAAAAAAAAAGAAATAACTAAAAAAAAAAATAACAATCATAAATAGCTAAGAAAAAAAAACAATGATAAATAGCTGAAAAAAACTTCAAAGTACATATTTATGTACTTTGAATTTTTAATTTAAAAAAGCAACAAAGACATTATTATTACTGTATTTAAGTTCTAATTTCTTTACTGTTTTTTATTTATTTTTTGTTTTTAAATCTGAGTAGCTGCTGTCAGTGGTTTTATAATAAATACTTGTGGATGGGTTACTGGTGGTGGCTTCAAAATTCTTATGAATGTTGTAAAATCATTTAAAGGTGAGTTTATGCAGGATTTTTATTTTGATTTGTTAATTCTTTTAAACTGCACTCCATATTTGTAATGTAGTAAAAAGAAATGTTTGAAATGTAGTAAAAAAAAATATTTGAAATGTAGTAAAAAAAGTATTTGCATTAGTTTATAAAATATTTCATTCTTTACTTTGTTAATTCCTTACATAATTTACATTAACTGAAATTTTTCAGTATTTTGAGGATTGAAACACTCTACCTACCTTTTTCGGGATTTTGACAACTGTAACACTCAACCTAATGGTTTAGTAGGTTTAATGTTTCATGTTGCACATGGCGAATCTTAATAACTATAAATCACTGTTTTTGATAATGATGGGGTTTTGATTCTCTATTATCTATCTATTTCTATTAGCTTTTGTTCAATCTATAATAATTAAATGTATATACCCTCAAATAAACTTTCTGTTTCTAATAATCACTAACAAATAATTTTACTTTAGATGATTTACGAAGTTAACATGTAATTCATGTAGCTAACATATATTTTATGCAGTTAACATATTGTAAAGGTTGCATAAGACGCTGTCCATTAAGTAGATCAACAAGTTAGGGGAGGGCGGCTCTGAAAATTTTGACGATTTTTGACAAGGGGGAGGAAGTCTAGAAAAGTTGACGTCAGCAATGTTACTTTTTTTAATAAATTTATTGTAATCAAATGCTGACATTTGATTAATAGGGGAAGGGGGGGATGAGAAGAGACTTAAAGTTTGAAAAGTTGTTGACAAGGGGGAGGGAGGGAGGTAAAAGTTGCCAAAAAATTGTTGACATGGACAGCCCTTAATTTGCTTAGTTATCATAATTAACATATAAGTCATCATCAGCACACTTTTTTGTAGTACGATGATCAACATTTTGTTATTTACAAAATAAAACTCTCTAAATATTCCCTCTATACAATGTGTACTACTTGTTTGTAGGACATGTAAAAATTTGATTGATCACTTTGAATTATAGATAATTATAGATAATTAAAAAATTTTAAATAAAGCTAAATTTAACTTTTTTTTTTATTAATGCTTTTTTTTGTTTAGTGGATGTTGTACTGGTTATTGATCATGAAAGAGTATACAACGACTTTAAAACAAATCTTGGAGATACTGTACAATGTGTTCATTTGCCAAAATCTGGTGGTGTAAGTATTATTTTTAATAATAGCTTCTATGTTCAAAAATGATGGCTCATGCCATCAGCTAGCCGGACGGAAATTTTTTTAGCCAGCCATAAAAGCAAAATTCTGTGGCTAGGAGGTCTATATACTATATATAGACAAAGTATACTATATATAGATAGTATAATATATTTTAGACTATTTTTATTGTCAGGCAAAATTTGTATCTTATTTTATGTCTAGGTTTTTGAAAGATCGCAAAGTCAAAGAAGTCATGCGCGTGATGAAAGAATAAGGGAGTACTTTTATGGTGGTCGCACACCTTTATATCCACATGTGTTTGATGTTAAGTTTGATGAAATAAAAGTGTACATGATAGGCGGTAATGTAATATTGTTTTTACATTATTTTTGAATTTTATGAGTATTTTTACTTTTATGGTTTATAAACAACACTTTTTTGTATATAGCACCGGATGTTCCTGATTCCTGCCTTCCTCTAGGCATGGAGCAAGAGGACAACAGCATGAAAGCTGTTCCACTATCAATTAGTATGTCTCAATTTTTTTTTTACCATTTGGTTTAATTGTGTGTGTGCTTTTGCTTTTTTATTTTTCTGTATGGGCAGTGTTGGTTTTGTAAAAAAAAATTGTGTATAGTTTTTTTTTTTAATGTAAATTTATGTATTATGTAATATATAAATATTTTTTTATATATAGTTGTTTGATACCTCATTATATAATTGTTTCATCTTGTTTTGTTTTTTTATAATTTTTTGCTTTATCGTTACAACCCTCTGAATTAGGGTCGGCATTCGACAATGCCGACCTGAAAGTGCTTGAGGTCTGCAAAAAACTGCCGACCTCATTTCTATGTTTTATGGTCAGACCTTTGTATCAAATAATTTTTGCCGACCTAATGTCGACCTCAAAAAGATTGAGGTCGGTAAGTTATTGCTTCATTTTTCCTAATTCCGAAGGTTGTAGTTGTGTCTTTTTACCAGGAATTATCTTTTTCCGGATATCTGGTATTTCTGATATTTCTTTAAACTTATAGTTTTTTTTTAAATGAAAAAATTTTTGAAAAATTGAGCGTCAATTTTTCTGAGACTTTTTTCTGAAAGTATCAATTTAAAGCTAAATTAAGGCAAGTATGAGTGAGGGAGATAATACTGAATTTTTTTTTTTAATTTTGTTTTTGCAAAATGTTTTCCAGATTTTAAAAAATGTTTTACTGTTAGTCATTTTGATCATTATTTTGTCATTTTGTTACTTACTATTTTTTATTGTAAGTCATTTTTCACCATAAAGTTTTAAATTTGTATGTTATATACTTTACTATATAGATGAATTTTATGGTATTATTTAGACACTGATTTATTGCATTCTTTATGTGCTGTAAGCACAGCAAGCTCTCAAGATGAAGATTTTGCAAAATCAAATGTAGCTGGCTTCATTGTTATGTAAATAGTTTCTTTGTTTTCATTTGATTTTTTAATTAATAAATTTATATATATGTATATATTTATATATATGTATATATATATATATATATATATATATATATATATATATATATATATATATATATATATATATATGTATATATATATATATATATATATATATATATTATATATATATATATATATATATATATATATATATATATATATATATATATATATATATATCAGGCCTCGGCGTGAAGCGATAGCTTTAGCTCTTGCCCACACTCCCCTGAAACGGTTTATGAGAGCTATTTACGGCTCGCAAAAATATAATTTTTCTCATATAAGTATAATTATCATTTTAAATAAAAAACAACAACACAATGTCATTTAGAAAAAATTAATTGCATAATATACTGAAATGCTTTTTAAAAGGCACAGTTGTTGCAAAAAAAATTAGAGTTAAAAAAGAGTGCCGATTTAAATGAGGAGCAGCTGGCACAGCTCCCCAAGTTCGCTTTTAGGATAATTTTTTTTTACATAAAATATATATATATATTTTTACACAACACGACATAAGTGTAATATATATATATATATATATATATATATATATATATATATATATATATATATATATATATATATATATATATATATATATATATATACATATATATATATATATATATATATATATATATATATATATATATTACACTTATGTCGTGTTGTGTAAAAAAAAAAATTTTTAATGTCATTTTTGTTAAAGTTAATTTTTTTTAAGTTTAAAAATAAATAAAATATTAAAAAAAAATGTGTTTAATATTTTGAATAGAGATTAAAAAGGATAAGCCAATTTTATCAAGCAATTAAATTTAAGAAATCTGAAATGTTTATATTAGGTATTTAATTTCTAAATTCATACTTTAAAATATCCATGGTGTTGAATCACTGGATCTGTAACTGTTTTGATTTCACAAGAGGGATATTGTGATTTCTAAATGGTTTGAAGCAGATACCAGCTCTATCTTTTTAAGGTGGTTTACTTTTGATTCTAAACCATATTAGTGTGTGGGCAAGTGGAACCATATTTGTTGATAGATTTTTAGTTAAAATTTATAAACACAGCAGTTGGTAGCAATTAACTATTTTTAATGAGAAAGTTCTCTTTTCTTGATAGTGGTTCTGTTCTTTTGAAACAGTGTCTCAAATTTCTATAAGTATTGCTAATCTGTACTGAGATCATTATTATCTGATTAGTTTCACAATTAGTCACAAGAGTGTACAATTAGTCTTTTGAGTTAAACTCATAAAGGTAACATAATGGCAATTTGTTTGCATGCAGCTGGCATATAAGCTACTTCAATAATATTTTATTTCTTTTTCTATGAGAGTTATGACTGAGTTATGATTCTAGCTAATTAAGAATTTTCATTATGATTATCTTCAGATTCTTTTCCAATTTTATCAGACACATAAATTAAACAATTTTTGTTTATTGTAGTTTTTTTGTCAAACTGCCTCAACAATTTCTCAGCTTGATTTGCTTCTGCTAATTGATTTTTCTACTTAAAAAGTATCAGTTTTCTTTGTATCAGTTTTGTTGATTGTACTGCTTATGAATATCACCCGTACAGTTTTTGATCAATAAGGAAGTTTGAAAGTTGATGATTGGTACTTAGTCAGCTTTAACATAAGTTGCAGTTGCATTTTTCTTGTCATATATAAACACTTTTTGTCATATTATATATTTCTGATTCCATACTTTCTGGTACAGTATATGTTAAAGAGTGTTTACAAAAACGTCTTTTACCTCTCATTGAATCTCATTAAATAGTAGACATGTATTTTGACCTGATTTAGCTTCAATTTATTATAGTAAACTGGCTATGGAATGGTATAAACAAAATGATGTAAAAGTTGTGCCTAAAACAGCAAATGTTCCAAGCTGCTGAGAATTGAAAGTTATTAAAATGTACTGGGCAATTAGTAAACGAAAAATGAAAAAAAAAATGCAACGTTTAAGATTTGAAAATGTCATCTACAAAAGCATCAGGTAGTTTCGATTTTTGTTTTGTGCAGAAGCTTATGGGTAACACAAAACCAAAAGTTGGAAATTTTATTAGATGCTTTCAGAAATAAATTATTCTCTTTGAAATATTTTTTTTTCTTATATTAATGCATTTAAATTATTATCTAGTTCTAAATAAAAATAGATGGGTACCTTTTTTTCAGTAGTTTTTCTACTTTCATATTTATTTTGTGTACGCTTTATTAGAATTAAAAACAAATATAAAGAATTTTATGATCGACCTTATTAAATGCTTCATTGTGTCAGTTCAGTTAACAAACTATTGCTGAAAGCATAATATGTTCTTGAATCACTCTTTATGCCAAAAGATGGTTTTCTTTTCATGGTTTTTTTAAATATTCTTGTTTCACAAAATGTTTTCCATCTTTTTATTTTTTTTATTTTTAAAGATGTTGCAGTTTCATAGCAATCAAGTTCACTCTTTTTTGTTTAATCATTGAAGATATAACTTATGGGTTTTTAGACCTTTAGATCTTTTGTTTGTGACAAGTGTCTTTGTTTGGTTCATGTTATGTTTAAACAATTTAAACATTTCAGTGATGTAATTTCAAATAATGTGATTTCAGTTGTCTTTCGAAGCTTCAACATTTTTTTTCAACTTTAGAATTCATTCAAGGATTGGATGAATCCAAAGAAAGGCGTAGCAACTAGGTTCAAGGGCTGTGTACTGCATAATCAAGTTCCTCAATGTACTTAGTTCTTTAATGCTTGCATGAACTCTTTATATATTCCAAAAATATTTAAAGCGTTTTAATAAGATTGGGAATGATAATTCATAAATATGTGTGTGTGTGTGTGTGTGTGTGTGTGTGTGTGTCTATATATATATATATATATATATATATATATATATATATATATATATATATATATATATATATATATATATATATATATATATATATATATATATATATATATATATATATATATATATATATATATATAAATTCATATAAGTATATATTCACATAAATATATTTTTATGTTAATAAAAATGTGTATAAGGATCCTTTAAACCTCCTTTAAATAAAAGGTTATAACTCACTGTTTTTCATTTGCTGTAGTTATCCTTTATGAATAATCTCACTTGTCAAAAATTAATACATGATTAAGTCCATTTTTCTATTTAACGGGTCCCTAATAATATAAAAACAAAGTTCTTCAAAAATACTTTAGATTTTATTGCATAAAAATTAAACATGTACTAAATATTGGACTATTTTATAATAAACAAGTTAATGAATGCATTACTCTATTGGAGCAATCTGATTTTAAAGTAAAATTTGTTGAAACAGATAATCATTTTAATCTTCATCCATTTAATAAAAAATAAGAAACAACTTGTCGAATGCAAACACATGTTTTTCCTTTTTTTTTTTTTTCATCTGATTTGCTCAGAGATAAAGTTAATGCTCAATGTGTAAACATTAGTTACATTTCGTAGGATTTATTGCATAAAAAGTTTATTAAAAAAATGTATTAGTGAATGGGAAATTAAAAAAAGAAAAAGTAATTATCGAATCTCTCATCATGGAATCATTAAATAAGATTCCTTGTATTATGAATACTTGATGAAATAACTAAAGTAACGGTGTTATGTTATTTTTTGGAAAAAAAATAGTGCAACACATTTTTTTATGGTTGTTTCATAGATCATTAATGACACTTCTTTTAAAGCTGAAATTTCAATACTTGCAATCAACTTGATAAAGCTGCTATGAAAGAAGATAACAAGTCCACATTTTATGGAGCAGTTGCAAATTGGATCGATATTTAGTCAATTTGTGGATATTTTAAATTAAGCAAATCTTCTCATGTTCTTATCACAATATTGAGCTCTTCTCGATGATTTGCTTAAGTTAAACAATTGTGTAAGAACAGTTCATGTTACAAACTGTGTTTTTGAGTGTAAACAAATAATTGGTGGTAAATTTCTTGTGAGTTTTTTAGAAGTATGCAACACACAATCTGGAAAAAAAACCTGTCACTTTTTTTTAAATAGGCTCAGTTGTTTTGGAAATTGACTAAAATCACGTTGTACGCCTGAAATAGAATAGGAGTGCGACGCAAGCCATTAAGTTTGAATATTGTGCATGCTTTCAGCTATTGTAAGACGCCTGATGGCCTCACACCGGTTTGAATCATGTTCAGATAATGCGTTACTTTTCTGAATAGATTACTATTAATGCGATTTTATTAAGTAACATATATTGAATTAATAATATCCTGTTAAAAGTTTTAATGTTATTTAAAACACTGATTTGCAGAAATCCGACTTTAAAGTTGAAACATTTCTTTACTTTAAAAATAAAATTTTCTTAAGTTTTCTATCAATATGTCTTCAATTTATTAGGTTATTTCTTTCTTTAAATCAACAATTTTCATGCTAAATTACTGGAGGATTGATTTTTTTAAATTTTAAATGAGTATTTTTGATAAAGTTACAAGAGTAACGTTAAACGTGGAACAAACCATATTAAAAAAGCTACCTGTGTCATATAATAACATGTTAAGTAACAAAGGAAAGCATGTGTTCAATAATTATGTCTCTCTGTTACTTATATGTTATAATATGAATAGTATCATAGCTCAAAATTACAAATGAGGTTGTAGTTAAAATAGTAAAATTACAAGTGAGTATGGCGCGCCGGAGAGAAATTTATTTATATTTTAATTTAAAACCTCTACAATATTAACGTGTGGATTAATAGTAAATATAATATCAACTGTTAGTTGTACTGAAATTTTTGCTTCGAAAGTCAAAACATGTTTGAATTTGGCTACGTTTAGTATTTACCGGCGCGCGTGTACTTTTTTATAATAACAACAATAAATAATTTTCATTTTTTTTTAATTTATAGCACAAACGTTGACGTAGAGTCAAAAACATTAACAGTTTTATCACCTGCTCCTCGACCATTACCGAAAGAATACATCATAAAAACTGGCATTAAGTTCATGGATTTAAAGTAAAACCTATGAAATTTGCAGTTCTGAAGTGCATTAATGTGTACTTTAGTAGTGAAGTACACATTACTGAAGTGCAGTAATGTTTGTATTTTACATAGGGTGTAATAAAATAAAAAGTATTAGTGATGGTGTGAATATTCAACATCCACTACACGTCATATATTTTATAAAATAATTATTGTATTTTCTCCTTTTACATTATTTATTAAAATAAATAGTTATAAAATATTCTACTCAGAAAAAATATAAAGATTGCTAAAAAATATTTCCTTTACATATCAAAATGGTTTTAAAAAATATCGGTTTTTTAAATATTTAAAATAGAATCTAGGGTAATAACAGGTGGCGGTAGTGCGCATTCCCATTTAACAGTGATTTTGATTTGCTTAACCCCTTGAGCTATTTCTTTTGCTATTTTAACCAATTCAGGAGAACTGTCGCAAAAGTTGATTCTCGTCAGTTTAGATTTAGTGGTGATTAGTGTTTTAATATTTTTATAATCTTCAATGAGGTTAGTCGAAGTAAAGTTAATTAGTGAAAGTACTTCAAGGTTTTTTGCTGTTTTCAGTAGCATTGGTATTAAATGAGAGCGATTAAGTTCTTGTTGATAGGAACCACCAAACTCTAGTATTTTAATTGATGGCAAATGAATCAAAAAGTCAGCAATGTTATCTGCGGTTATTTGGAAAGATTGATAAATACCAAATTTTTCTAGATGTTTGCACTTTGTAAGAAAGTTTCCGAGAGCGTTAGGTGATATGTGAAAACTCCAACGCAAATCAACCATACGTAGTTTAGTTGACATTCCTGAATTTACCATTTGTGAAAGTACTATATCATTAACTGCGCGCCCTTCTCCGCAATAAGATAAATTTAAATAATGTACATGCTTTAGTTGAGCTAATAGAGCAAAGAGGCCTTGCCATGTGATTCGAGGACATGCTGATAGGTCTAGTTCTTCAATAACACAGCCATCCCATATTTTTTGTGCAAATATATCGTCGTTAATTTTAAGATACCTAATAAGTAGTGTTTTAAGGTTTTGACAGTTGCGCAATAGACAAGCAAAAGATTTTCCATAAACATGGCGGCAACCAATTAAACAAATTGACTCGATTTTCTGGCAATTTGTTGCAAGTACATTAATTCCATTATCGTCTATTTCTAAGCAGTTAGTGAAATCAATAATCCTAACGTTTGTTAGTTTTGAAAATATGTAGGGAAGCTTGTATCTGCCGAAGCTTCTTGGACCAATTCCAATATTAGTTATGTTAGGAAACTTTTGATCTACGTCGACTAAAAATTCAAAACTGCCTAAGGATGAACGTAAGTCTAAAGTTTGTAAGTTTTTTGCGAAAAATGATTTGCGTCGGCGTTTTTTAATTTCAGCTACACAGCTCCGCCCAAACAAAAGAATACTTAGCTTGTGGCAATTGTCTGCAATTGATCTAAGCATTTTAGACGTAACGTACAAGCTTCCTAAGTTAAGTTTTATTGTATCCTTAAGATTTTTTTTAGTAAAGTTCTCAAATGCTGGTTCTTCAAACGTGATTTTATAGGGGCTGAAATCGACTGACCTCCATAGAGATTTATCTTTACTTATGTAGTACCAACGTCTGCACATTTGATTTACACTTGATAAGGTTTTTAGATCAAGAAATGCAAATAGTCGCAATATGCATTCGTCTGTTAAAATCTTCGATATGTCTAAACTATTTTTTTCGTATTTTGAAATATTTTCTGACATTTTCAAGTTATTTTCTTTGGTCATTTGTATAAAAAAGAAACTTAACGCCTCTGTTGTGACGCTAAAGTTTTTTTTAGCGATTTAAAAAGAAAACATTATAACGCAAATTTAACTGAAATTTGTTATGTTTAAAAAATGTATGATAAGCGGAAAATCTAAATTGTATTATTTCAAATGTAAAAAAATACTTTTTTATCATTATTATTTTATTTGTTCTAGTGCAGTTATAAATTTACTGTATTTTATTTATTAAAGATATTATTAAAACTATAATGCATATAACCTAATGCATTTTTCAAAGTTCAAGTTGATATTCTTTAACGTATTAAATATACCGGGACTTAAAATAACAATAACAACAATATACTCTGAATAAAGAAGGTAGTCATTACATTATATTTCATGGATATTCACAAATAGTACGAATACTGATCTAAATTAAACATCAATTGAATACTAGTAGCAATCATACAATAATAATATTAAAGCAAAATTAGCGAGGACAATTAGGATAAGTTATACACAATAGTACGAAAATACACTATAGTGTATTTTCAGTCACTGTTTGAACTCGGTCACTTTTACCATGCTTTTACTTAAGTTTTATTTAAACAAAGAGTATTAGGAAATGTGATAATGTTAAAACAGATCAATTTAGAGTAGGACTACCTCCAGGCACGCCGGTAGGGCCTAAGGGCAGGGATGGCAAACAAAAACACAAGGGCATTTGCCAAAATATCAACACAATATTTTACTATATATAATATCTAATATAAATAAGTCTTTTAATTAACCCAACCGTTCTCCAAAAAATACACAAAAAATGTCTTTTTGTCTATTACTTTTACTATTACGAATCGCGTGTACAATTAACGCTAAAGTTTATAACATGTTATTAAACAGTTTACTAAATAAATCAACTGTTTTTTAGCTACTTTCTAGATGTCAATAGTACATTTCATCCTATGCTATTCTTAGCTTTACAAGGTGCTTGAACGATTTCAAGTGTATTTGCCAAAATTATTCATTCTACTGTCATTCATTTCAACGAACTGTTTGGCAATTTTTTTAATGTTAATTTTTTTCGATTTATTTTTTGTGTTTCTGAGCAAAACCAAAAAATAAATCAGTTTCTGATGTTGTTCAGGTGATTGCCTCCAGATTGAACTCTCCTCATTACACTGAAGCTTCTTTCACATGATTTTTGTTGTTGTTGTTGTTGTTGTTCTTTATTACAATATTTATGATACATATGTTACAAATAATATAAAAAAAGAAAAGATAACAAGTCAAGATATCGTTAAGAAATAAAGTATAAAAAATAAAAATAAAGAATGCGGATACTCGAAGAAGACCATAAGGTCTTGTCACAGAGAAACCGCTATTGATAAAATTCGAACATTTTTTTAAATGGGTTTTCTTTTTGTTGTGGTGTTTACGTGATGCATCATTCAAATTACTGTGTCTTCCGAAAAGCTGACTCATGCGAATAATTATGTCCATAATTTTCTAAATAAATCTCTTGCACGCACTGAATTTAATTTGTCGAAAATAATCACTGAATATTATTAATTGCTACATATTATTCAATATATATTACTGTATATAATCAATGTAATTACATTTCCAGACTGAATAAAGTACATTTCCAGATCGTTCAAAAGGTTGTGCAAAAGGACCTAGATACGCTGGTTATCGCTGTGTGTTTAGCCAAATTACCAAATTTCCGTTTACACTTCTGACAGCAAAAACGCCAAGCCACTGCCAAATATATAAATTACCGTTTACTCTTCTAACGACAAAAACGACTAGCCACTGCCAAAGGATGGTTCGCCTCTAAACGTAGTCTACATACATATATTGGCAGGTACGCATACATCATATATATATATATATATATATATATATATATATATATATATATATATATATATATATATATATATATATATATATATATACAGGGCCACCGAGAAGGGAGGGGGCCACCAGGACAGTTTGTCCCGGGCGGCAGATGTCCATGGGGCGCCAGATGCCGAAGTAAAATAAAATAGTTTTTTTATTTTTAAAATTCTAAAATTAAAATGTATATATTATTCGCGTTATATCATCGTTTTTTTTTCCTCGAAAAGTTTTAAAAAAATACGAACTCACCATTGATTTCGTATTCTATTAAATTAAAAATGTCCCTTGAGATTTTTGCATTCATCTGACCAAAGTAAAAAAAAACGCAAACGTTAATAATTAGCAATAGCAAACTGTGAATACATTTAGAAATAATTTTATTCAGAATTTAGAAAGTAATAGTAATTATTGTTCAACTATTCGTTATGATCAACTTATTTATGGTATTTCATGTTTACGATTTATCTATATTTAACTATTGAAATATTGATTTATGACATTTGCTTTTTGAGTTTATTATTTTTTGATGAGTTTGCGTATTTGACTTGGCTATTATTTTATTGATGCGTACTGTTATTTACAGTAATTATTGATAATGAATCGTAAAAAACTTTCTGGTGCCCAAAATCGGGCATTGGCTTCTAAAAGGGCAAAAGACTGTGAAAAAAATAAACAAACGCTCCAAGAATTAGGTTAGTTATACAAAGCTACTAATCAAAATACTGATTTGAAGGTGAGTTAGTAGAAATATATAGGTTCAATAAATATATATCTTTTATTTCCGAAGCAATTTAAGAAAAATAATTAAACATTTTTTAAGTCGGCGGAATTAAATAAATCAGAACAAACAATGGAATCATCGTATTATGATGATGTTGATCTACATTCTCTTGGTTCAGTGGAAAATGAAACAGACAACAGTTTTTAACGATGAATTAAAACCCGAAGAAAATAAAGGTTTTTATACAACCAATAATTCAAAATAGTTACATAATTAATTAAGTATTAGGTTTTAATGAATTTTTTTTAATTCAGGCGTTGAAAATGACCCAGCACTTTTGCCATCGATTCTTAAGCAAAGAGAAAAAGAAGAGTTAATCAAAAAAGGTCCGTCAACTTTACCTGATGATTTCCCACGAGATGCTTCTAATAACAGGACCTTTCCAAAAGAAGTTCTTTTTATTGCATTGCCTAATAGAGAAAAAGTTCAACGAGATTATCTGATATGGAGCCCATCGTCTCTCTCTACTTTGTTTCCCGTGTTCTTTATTTGGGTGTAAAAATTCCGGATCCTATCGATCTCTTCTTCTTCGCTGGAATGAAGGAATAAAAAATGACTGGAGAAAATTGAGTCATCGTATCAAAAGTCATCATAGCAACCCAGTTCATCAAAGTCATTATTTCAATTGGAAGACGTTGCACTCAGCTCTTGTCGATCAGCGCGAGATCGACTCAGAGTTTCAAAAAAGAAAAGGAAGTAGCCAGATGGTGTGAAATACTTCGTTGTATTTTAGATGCAATTTTATTTTTAACATCTCAAAACTTATCCTTTAGAGTTAAATATTCTAGGCCAGAACTCTAAATACTTAAGAATAAGTTCTTATTTTTAGTATTACAGAATTTCTAATATCTACATTTAACTAACTTAGAAAACATTATTTTAGGGCAATATTCGTCGATGGAGAAGAACGAGAAAGGGAACTTTTTAAGTTGCCTTGAACTTATTTTTCGTCACAATGAAACATTAAAGAATCATCTTGAAACAGTTGCTCGTCATCAAAATAAAGGAACCAGAATGCAAGCTCACTATCTCTCCTGGCAATCACAAAACGAATTCATCAGTGAATGCGTTACATTAGTTCAAGCAGCAGTTGTGAAAGAAGTAAAAAATGCCGTATATTTTACGATAATTACCGATGGGACGCCAGATGTATCTCACACCGAACAAATCACGTTTATTCTTCGGTTTGTGCGATTCAACTCGGGTGATGATTTGGGAAGTTAAAGAACGATTTCTCTGCGTTGAAGATATGGAGAAAAAGAAAGGTGCAGATATTGCTTATTTAATTTGCAACGTTTTAGCGAAAGTGAATCTCGATTTACAAAAATTGAGAGGCCAAGGATACGACAATTGTTCTAATATGGCTGAAATCTATAATGGAGCCCAAGCTCATATACTGGAAAAAAATCCGTTCGCTTTATACATTCCTTGCGGTGCTCATAGTTTAAATTTAGCTGGAGTTCATGCTGCTGAGTTTTGCGCTGAGATCAAAACGTTTTTTGGCAATATCCAAGCTCTCTACGTGTTCTTTAGTTGCAGCCCAGCAAGATGGAAAATTCTTCACGAAGAGACTGCTTTATCACTTCACAATCTCTCATGTACTAGATGGTCAGCCCACATAGCAGCTGTAAAATCTTTAGTGAAAAAACCACGAGAAATCATTGCTGCTCTGGATAGAACCGTTAATCAACTTGACCTAACTGCAGACATGTTGAATCAAACGAAATCGTTGGGCAAATATTTTAAGTCATTTGAATCAGTAGTTCTTCTGACCTTTTGGTATAAGACACTGCAAAACATTGATGTTAGTCGATGTCTCCAGTCGGAGTCAATCACCATTGAAGAAGAAGTCATCCTCATTCAACTACTTCTAGATGACCTAGGTCGCATTCGTTTGTCGTGGAATTGTATTTTGACTGAAGCAAAGCTAGTGGCTGGAAACCTAGGCTTTGAAACATAATTTAAAGTAAAACGCACAAGAAGAGTGAAAAAATTCCATGAGGAACCATCAAATACAGCCCACTACCACGACGATACAGAAAAGAATTTTGAAGTAAATATTTTCAACGTGGCATTGGACCACATAATTCTACAAATTCAGTCAAGGTTCAATGTGGTGAAAAAGGTTTCTTCTCAGTTTTCCTTTATCTGGCTACAGTCTGAAGACCCTTCTTCACAAGATGACAAAGCTCGTCAACTTGCGAAATTCTATTCAAATGACGTTAAAGAAGACGATCTTATTGAGGAAATTTGCCACTTTGACCGGTTGAAAGCATCGTCCTTGTTCAGTATAGACAACTCTCTCAATCTTTTAAATCAAATATATTCCAAAGGCTTACAACCAATTTTCCCGTCGATATGCATACTTTTGCGCATCTTCCACACAATGCCAGTATCCGTTG